CGTTTTTGACGTGCTTTAGGATGGGCCTATCGCATGTCCTGTTATCGCGATGATGATAATTTTTCAATATATTGTGTAGCCCTAGTTTAGATGAAGCTAATATTTTTGATAACTCTGAAAGCTCAACTGGATCAAAACGGTTCAAGCACAGATGAGGTTCTACAGTCACCTCTGATGCTGCCTCACTTACTGAGGAAGAAGAAATCGCATTAGGGAGGATGTTAAAGATTTTGTTTCTAATAGAATTAATTTTACTTGTAATAAATCCCATGAAGTCATTGCTGCTGAGGGCTAAGGGAATAGATGGCTCAGAGCTATGATTCTGTGTAAGTTTAGCAACTGTACTGAAAAGAAATTTGGGATTATGCTTATTCCCCTCGATTAGTGCTGAGAAATAAGCAGTTCTAGTTTGTCGAAGCTTATTTTTATAAAGCACAAGACCATTTTTCCAGGATAGGTAGGCCTCCTCATGGTGCGTAGAGCGCCATGTTCTCTCCAATTTCCTAGAGTTTTGTTTTAAGGCTCGTAAATGAGAATTAAACCAGGGAGCCAACTTCCTGTCCCTAATTACCTTCTTTTTTAAAGGGGCAACATCATCTAATGCCACACGTAAAGAGGAATTAACATGATGAACTAAGGCATCAATTTGTGAGGGGCTAGAACTGAAAATATTGCCCTCTGCTACATGCCTCTGAGATGCTGAGGACAGTAAAGATGGAACAGTTGATTTAAAAGATGCAACTGCGTTGTCAGATAGAGACCGACTATAGTACTATACTTGAGCAGAAGCTACCAATCTTAACAGTCACATACCTGTCAGACAGGTAGGATCTCATCCAGAAGAGCGCTGAACCAGAGACCAAAAAAATTCTCCAGTCGATTGAGAAATATAACATGATCAAGAGTATCAAAAGCAGCAGTCAGATCTAAGAGTAATCAGTATATTGGTAAATATCATTGAACACTCTCACAAGTGCAGTTTCAGTACTATGCTTTGCTCTAAAAGCTGATTGAAAAACTTCTTAAATTTGTTATTATCTAAATGGTCTGACAATAGCTAAAAAACAACTTTCTCAAGAACCTTAGAAAGAAATAGCAGCGTAGAAATAGGTCGATGACTGGATAATACCGAGACATCAAGACCGGGTTTCTTAAGAAGGGGTTTGATTACAGCTCTTTTCAGACTCTTTGGAACTTGCCCACACTGCAGACTAGAGTTGATTACATTATGAACCATATTTGGGATATCGCCACCAAGATGGCGCCGAGGATGGTCGCCCTGGTGCTAACGTGCAACGTGTTTTTTTTGTTTATGTCTGTAAATTGTGTGTCAGCGTGCTCTTACACCCGTGAAGAGCTTCTAAACGTCAGATCATCAATGCCGACGGACCTATTTCCAGTTTTTTTAGTGGGTGTGGCGGATTTGGTCCACTTTTTTATTAAGAAAGTGAGACGCCGTAGAAGAGGAAAACGTGCAGGAGTGCTCGTGCGTCTACGAAGACGCGGCTCATGCACGCCCTTACCTGGGATTTTCCTCTCCAATGTCCGCTCACTTAGTAACAAGACGGATGAACTGGCGTTGCTGATGAGACAGAACAGAGACTTTTCTTCCTCCTCTGTCATATGTTTCACGGAAACATGGCTCAGTGAGCAGACCCCAGACTGCGCGCTCCATTTGGAGGGATTCCAGCTCTTCCGCACAGACAGACAGCGGGCCTTATCCGGAGGAAAGACAAAAGGTGGAGGTGTCTGCTTCTACATCAACAATGCCTGGTGTTCGGATGTGACTGTGATTTCCCAGTACTGTTCTCCTGCTCTGGAATTCCTCTTCATAAACTGTAAGCCGTTCTACTCCCCACGTGAGTTCGCTTCATTCATTCTGGCCGCTGTTTACATCCCGCCGTGCGCGGACATGCACGAAGCGCAACGTGCGCTCGCGGAGCAGATCCTAAGTGTGGAACAGACCTTTCCGGACTCTTTAGTTATCATCCTCGGCGACTTTAACAAGGCAAATCTGAGCCAGGAATTACCTAAGTACAAACAGTTTGTTAAATGCCCAACAAGAGAGCAGAACACGCTCGACAACTGCTACACCACAGTTAGTGGAGCTTATCGGGCCGTGCAGCGTGCTGCTCTCGGTTTCTCAGACCATGCCATGATTCACCTCATCCCCTCATATAGGCAGAGGCTGAAGCTCTCCAAACCTGCAGTGAGAACTTCTAAGAAGTGGACCTGCGAGGCTGTGGAGGAGCTTCGCATGTGTCTGGACTCAACAGACTGGAACATGTTTGGATCTGCCACCGACAACTTGGATGAATATACAGACACTGTGACGTCATACATAAAATTCTGTGAGGACAGCATTATTCCAACAAAAACCAGGGTCATTTTTAACAACGATAAGCCCTGGTTCACACCCAAACTGAGACAGCTGAGGAGGGAGAAAGAAGCAGCCCACAGAGCTAAGGACAGAGAGAGCTATAAGGGCGCTAAGTACAGGTACTCAAAAGAGTTGAAGAAGGCGAGATCTCTGTACAACAAGCGACTAAAGGAGCAGTTCTCTAACAATTACACCACCTCTGTCTGGAGAGGGCTCAGGCAAATCACAAACTACAAGCCCAGAGCCCAACATGCTGCTGACGATCTACAACTGGCTGAACAACTCAACTCCTTTTATGCAAGGTTTGAAATGCAACACCCATCCCCCACACCCCCTACTGCACAGGCTTCTTCAGCCACTCTGGTGTCATATGCCACCCCCACCATCTTCACCACTGTGAATAGTTCAGTCCCCACTGACCACCCCTCCCCCTCCATTACCATCTCAGTGACAGAAGAGGAAGTGCTCAGGGTTTTCCGTAAAAAAAATCCTCGGAAATCCCCGGGCCCGGACGGTGTCTCCCCCGCAACCCTGAGACACTGCGCAGAGGTACTGTCTCCAATCTTCACGGACATCTTTACCATCTCCTTGGAGACCTGCCATGTTCCAGCCTGCTTTAAGCTGTCCACCATTGTTCCTGTGCCTAAGAAACCCCATGTAACTGAACTGAATGATTATAGGCCTGTGGCGCTGACGTCTGTAGTCATGAAGTCTTTTGAGCGCCTGGTCCTCCCCCATCTCAAGTCCTTCACCTCCCCCCACCTTGACCCTCTGCAGTTCGCATACAGAGCCAATAGTTCTGTAGACGACGCCATCAACCTGGCCCTCCACTTAATCCTGCAGCACCTGGACTCCACGGGAACCTACGCTAGGATCCTGTTTGTGGACTTCAGCTCTGCGTTCAACACCATCCTCCCTGCTCTGCTCCAGGACAAGCTCTCCATGCTTAACGTACCCAACTCCACCTGCAGGTGGATCACTGACTTCCTGACGGACCGAAGGCAGTGCGTGCGGCTGGGGAAGAATGTTTCCACCATTCAGACAATTAGCACAGGATCTCCACAGGGCTGTGTACTTTCTCCTCTGCTCTTCTCCCTGTACACAAACTGCTGCACCTCGAGCCATGACTCTGTTAAACTGATCAAGTTTGCGGACGACACCACCCTCATCGGGCTCATCTCTGACGGTGATGAGTCCGCCTACAGGAGAGAGGTGGAACGGCTGGTGTACTGGTGCAGCAGCAACAACCTGGAGCTCAATGCTCAAAAGACAGTGGAGATGATTGTGGACTTCAGGAAAGTCACAGCCCCATCTCTCCCCCTCGTCCTGACGGACACCCCCGTCACCACTGTGGACTCCTTCCGCTTCCTCGGAACCACCATCACACATGACCTTAGGTGGGAGCCATCCATCAGCTCCCTGATCAAAAAGGCCCAGCAGAGGATGTACTTTCTGCAGCAGTTGAAAAAGGCCAAGCTGCCGGCCCAGATGATGGTGCAGTTTTACACGGCCATCATTGAGTCCATCCTCACCTCCTCCATCGCTGTGTGGTATGCTGGAGCCACAGTGAGGGACAAACATAGACTGCAGCGCATTGTGCGCTCTGCTGAGAAGGTGATTGGCTGCAGCCTTCCATCTCTCCAGGACCTGTACGTCTCCAGAACTCGGGGGCGTGCAGGTCGGATAGTAGCTGACCCTTCTCACCCGGGACACAGACTTTTTGAGCCGCTTCCCTCAGGCAGGAGGTTACGGTCCGTCCGGACCAGAACCTCTCGCCATAAGAACAGCTTCTTTCCATCTGCCGTTAAGACTTGTGAACAGCTTATAAAGAAAAAACCATGCTCGTCTTCGGCACTTGACATAAAGTCACGTTATCGGCCATGTTACCTTTACCTGCCATTTTTTATAGCAAAGTTTTATGCTGGTTTATTATATTTTATTTTACTTTATTCCATTTTTTAATTATATTATTCATGTTATATGTAGCACGTTAGTACCGAAGCAAGTTCCTAGTTTGTGAATCGTTTGTTCACTAACAATGGCAATAAACCTATTCTGATTCTGATTCTGATTTGAAATAGCTGGCCAAACATTTTTAAGAATAGAGGATGGAATGATGTCGAGTGCAGAGCTGGATGGTTTCATCCTTCCAACAATTTCATCCAACATATCTGGGGATACAGAGTCAAAAGAATTTAAAGTAGTTGAATCAAAACAGATTTCTTCATCAACAAAACTAAATTGCTGGGGAATTTCAGCTTGAATAGTTTCAGTTTTGCCTATAAATTATGTCAGAAACCTCTCAGCAGTAGTCGAAGAGACTTTAAGTCCACCTGCACACGAAGGATTTCAAATCTCATCCACGGTAGAAAATAGTACTCTTAGGTTATGCTCATTAGAGCTAATAATATCAGATAAAAAAGTGGATTTTGCCTTTTTTACAGCCATTTGATAGGAACACCATGCAGACCTCACGTCTTCAAATGAGGGCTGTGACCTAGATTTCTTCCACTTCTGCTCACATTTCCTGCATTAGGTGAAGATTCTCTGTCATCCTGGACATGATCATCCTGAGCTTTAATATAAAAACAACATTTATAATTAGATGGAATATCACATCTTATTGATCACTCAGTAAAAGTAACCACTTCCATCACGTTACACCATCAGCATGGCTCTACACTTCATCCTGCAGCATCTGGACTCCTGGGTACCTACACCAGGATCCTGCCAGAAGCAGAAACAGCTGGAGTTAGCAGGTCAGATCCACGGTGTGTAAAGTCCACTCATGGAGGGAACAGGAAGGGAAACCACTGAAGAACCAGGATAAACAGACCCGAGGAAACATGGACGGAGACACAGCGCTGCCCCGTGGCCAGGCGGGAATGTGGAAACGGACCTGTGGCTATTCCAAACACAGGCGCCATCTTGTTAGCGGCCAGAAGCAGAGTATGGGTGGGATGAGGCTGGCCCATACTCTGGAACAGCAGCTGCTATGTGTGGACTCTCATGTGATTTGTTTATTTACATTTGTAGTAAACCTTTCTCCACACTCATCATGACTAAATGATTTAGGTTTCTTCTGGACTTTCCTGCACGAGTCTACATGTTGCTTCACTCTAACACATTTCTTATGAACCAAACAGCCTGAAGACCTTATTGCTGGATGACTTGTCTCCCTCACGTGTCTCTGGAGAGACCACTTGTGAAGAACTTGTTGACAGACTTACCATCTGACTCAGAAGACCTGCTCTCATTCCAGTCATCATCTTCATCTCCAGTTTCAGACCCAGAGTCTGACAGCTCAGAGTCCAGATTCACACCATCATCATCATCATCATCATCATCATCTCCACTAACTTCAGTCTCTGAAGAATCAGATGTTTGTTCATGAGGGTTCAGATATGGGTTCCTGCTAGTTCCTGCTCCTCCACCAGTTTCTGCTGCCATCTGGTCAGCTGAGCTGCTGGTTGGAACATCTCTGTCTTCTATTTGCTGCTGATGAAGCTGTGAGACCAGAGGTTTCTCTTCATCATCCTCACTCTTTATAGAAACAGCAGTAACAGGAAACCCGACAGCTTCAGTCTCCTCCTTCAGACAGAGATGCTCTCCCTCCAGACTGGTCCAGAGCTCCTCCTGTTCCTCCTTTATGTGGAGGTGTTCTGGGTCCTGCTGGTCCACACCAGCACTCTGTTCTTCAGGAGCTTCTTCTTTAACCAGCGCCAGCTGTGGAACATCTGTAGGAAACACAGACACAGATCAGGGATTGAAGCAAAAAATCTCATCTGACTGAAAATGATTGTGTGTGTGTGAGTGTGTGTGGGTGGGGGGGTGGGGGGGGGGTCACATTATTTACACACAGCCGCTATTCGGGTTTTGATTGGTTTTAAGGTCAGTGTTCTTGTTACTGAAACATTTGGAATAACCCGTTCACACACACAGTGTTTAAAGTGTGGGTGTTGAGATTTCTCTGAGGTACAAAACAGGGTTTCCCTTACATTGGCGTAGCCGTGGCGGCCCACCACGGCTGAAATCCCAGCGCCACGCCTACACGATCCCAAGTTTTATTGATTTTTTTTCTTTCGCGCTGTTTCCGAAAGAAGCAGCGGGAACTACTCTGTTGTTGCTTATGATCACAGCCGGCAGGCAGCAAGGAGGAGGAGGCAGGGTGGTTCCAGCTAGGGATGAGCCGGATACTCGTCTGAAATGAGTACGGACAAAGCAGAAGGAAAATCCTCATTGGGTAACTGACTGTCTTCAGGCTCTGTGATTGGCCAGTCACATAGAGCAGGGGTTCCCATTTCCGGGGTCGCGACCCCCCGGGGGTCGCAATACGCCCCTGCTGGGTCGCGAAACAAGGCTCTTTACGGCAGTTCAATTTGCGACCGACGGGTTACTTTGCAGCGCCGCGGTAAACACGTTTCTTCTGAACAACTGAAATATTCAAAAAGTTGTACGGTAATATGGGTTATATGCAATATGAAGCGCTGGTTAACACAGATTAGAGACAACAAACAGAAGCCAACTGATCATGCAGCAGCAGCAGACTCAGAGAACAGCGGGGGTCCGCCTTCCACATCTGAGGCGGGAGGAGGAGCCCATAAGCTGCTGCGTAAGGCGCAGCTGAATCAGCCTTCGCCTAAATTTCGCAGGTATCGAGAGGAATATATCCAGTATGGATTTACGTGTACTGTTATAAACGAAATACAACACCCCCAATGTGTATTATGCACTGAGTTGCTTGCAAATGAGAGCTTTAAGCCTGCAAAAATGCTCCGACATTTGAAAACTAAGCACTCCTCATTTGCAGCTAAACCAGCAGACTTCTTCCGTCGAAAAGAGAGAGCATTTCAAAGCCAAAAGAAAGTCATGACCAACCAGAAAACAATCTCTGCAAAAGCTCAAAAGGCATCATATGAGGTAGCATATTTAATTGCACAGGCAAAAAAAAAAAACGCACACAATCGGAGAGATCCTAATAAAACCTGCTGCCATCGCAATGAGCCAAATAATGCATGGAGATAAACAAGCCCAGGAGCTGAAAGCGGTCCCGCTGTCTGATGGGACAATATCCCGGCGCATCACAGAGATGGCGCAGGACATCAAGTCTCAGTTGATTGACAGAGTCAAGAGAGGAAAATACGCTTTGCAGTTAGATGAATCCATAGATGTCGCACACTCTGCACAGCTGCTCGTTTTTGTCAGATACAGTTTTGATGGAAAACTTCACGAGGACATGCTGTTTTGCACCACACCTTCAGCAAAGTGCACAGGTGAGGACATTTTCACAGAAATTGATAAAAAACTGAAAGAGGAGGGGCTGTCTTGGGATGAATGCATCAGTGTGTGCACAGATGGTGCTGCAGCAATGCTGGGGAAACATAAAGGACTTAAAGCAAGAGTTGTACAAGTGGCCCCACACATAAACTTTACACACTGCATTATCCACAGAGAAGTTCTGGCGAGTAAATCGCTAGACACAGAGCTTAAAACGGTGCTTGAGAGTGCAACAAAAATTGTCAACCACATAAAATCCCGTCCTCTGAACACAAGACTGTTTGCTGCTCTCTGCAACGAAATGGGATCAGAGCATCAAAGTCTGCTTTTCCACACTGAAGTCAGGTGGCTGTCACGGGGAAACGTTCTCAGGCGCTTGTTTGAGCTGCGGGACGAGGTGCGCCTACTTTTGTTGGAGCACGGATCTCACCTTGCTGCCCATCTGACTGATCCTGACTGGTTAACTAGGCTAGCATACTTGGCTTGCATATTTGACAAGCTGAATGGGTTAAACACATCAGTACAAGTTGAAAACGCTAACATCCTGTCACTGAATGACAAAATCAATGCATTCAAAAGGAAACTGGATCGGTGGTGTGCACGAGTAAAAACGGGCTGTTTTGACATGTTTCCTGAACTGGAGGAGTTCATGGAGGAAAATGATTTGTGTGTTAACACCGTTAAGGGGTATATCACCATGCACCTTCAAACCCTCTTGGAACACTTTATCAAGTTTTTTCCTGAGGAAACAGCTCCAGAAAAATATGACTGGATAAGATCCCCATTCACCGTAACAAGCACACATCATTTGTCATCCGACATTGAGGACGCACTGGTTGAACTGTCAAGCGACCGCACCTTAAAGAGCGCTTTTAACTCAAAGATGCTTGCTGAGTTCTGGATTTCAGTTGAGAGAGAATATCCACAGCTTTCTAAGGCTGCGATTGACATTCTGATGCCGTTTGGCTCCACACACCTGTGTGAAAAGACTTTCTCAACCCTCACATATATTAAAAATAAATACAGATCACGTCTTAACGTGCAGGATGATCAAGAGGTGCAGGGCGAGGAGACCTGCAGGACTGCAGGACAATCCTCTGGTCGGGTGGAGAGAGAATGAAAAAGAGTATCCTCTTTTGACTCGCATGGCTAAGCGATATCTCCGTGTCCCTGGGACCAGCGTCGCATCTGAGAGGGTTTTTTCAACTGCAGGTGATGTAATCACTGCAAAAAGAAGCTGTCTCACCCCTGGTCATGTGGATCAGCCACTTTTCCTGCAGAAGAATCTTACCGTTCCCAAGTGATGTTCATAAGAGGACAGTTTACACAGTCTGTCTTTAGTCAAGTTTCATTTCCTGTTCAGTTTTGTTGGTACATTAATATGGAATACCTTTCAGTTTTGACTTTTCACAAGTTTACATTTTTGTACTTTAACGGCATTTGAATGTTTCTGGATACTTGAAGTGTTTAAGTTTTTGCACAAGACTGTGAAACAGCTGTTTAAGGTTCTGTACCTTTTAATTTCTATTTGCACAAAGTAAAACGAAAGCAGTTAATTTTAAGCTTTCTGTCTCTGTTTACATTTGCACTGGCAAATAATATCTTTTTTCATATGGTTAAACTTATTAGAATAAAAATGGCATTTGCTTTCAACAGCAATAGCTTTTGGCTGAATTCCTAACGTCTGAATTTAATGATGTCCTAGAAAACACTGGAAACACTTGACATTCTGGGAGAGGGACTGGTCCCAATAGCCATTTTTAATAGCCAATATTTGATTAATTGACACTGAATGTCAATATTATCAATATACTGCACAACTATGTGAATCGATATCGGAATCGATCGGATTACATAGTGATACTCGATTCTAAATCTCAAGAATCGGAATCGATTCTGGAAATTTGTATCGATACCCAGCACTAATCAGGAGAACATCATTCTTCTATACTGAGCCAACATTCCAGTGGTAACCACTCAGACCACTGAACCTGAGTTTTACAAGACCGAGGAGACTTTCTTTTTGACTAGACTACGACCAAATAGAAGACTGACTTTGAGCTCAACCTGACTAGGTTTACTGATATAGGGGGAAAGGCCTAATTGTTTAATTATATGTCTATTGCAGCTGCTGTATTTTTTGTTCTATTTTCATATTTCTATATAAAATTACAAATCTGGTGCAACTGTGTTCTTTTGCTCATTCTTTGGATCCAGCTATTCCATTTCCCACTCACTGGTAATTTGTAAGGTAATCCTGTTGGACCTAGAGTCTGGCCTATTTATTATTATTTTTTGAATAAGTGGTAACTTAATCTGACGCCAGGGTTACAATAGACTGACAATATATTCATTTATCCACCAGTACCTGTGTCCATGCTGTCCAGGTCCAGGTGGTGAAGAACACACGATGAATCAGTCCCAGCTGATGGATGATCCTGAAGTGGTAGCAGGTTTTCTTTAGCCGTGTTTAGCTAACAGCTGCAATAGAAACAAAGCAGGAGAGCTGATTAAGATGCTGCTTCAGAACAACGCAGGAGATTAAAGATCCAACGCTTTGGTTCTGGCCAAAGGAACAGCAGCAGATCCAGAGGGCAGGAAGTCTAGAGAAAAGCTTTTCTCACCCACAACCTGATTCTGGAGCTCCGATCGTCACGAAGACCGCAGAATATCTTCTCTGGTTCTGGAAAGAACTCCACCAAGTTGTTGAGGAGGAGAAGAAAGTTTCCACATCCTGGTGAGAAGATTTCTGCAGCAGCAGCAGTTAGTCGCTTTAGCTGATCAACTCTCCCAGAGACTGAAGTGAAGACATTTTTACTGCAGAGCCTCAAATATTCTCCTCACACACCAGAACAACAAGCTAGCTCTGCTAGCAGCTTCCGGTTTCTGCTTCTTCTGGTGGTCAATGACCAGCGTAAAGTTGCACTCGCGCCACCTGCTGGAGCAGAATAAAACACACCTGGCTCTCATACATAACTTCCGCTGGTAGTTTTTTAGACAAAATATTTGTTCCTCTCTCCAAAAGTACCTGGCTGCAGACCTCCACTGTCAGGCTGCTTCCGGTGGAGGCTCCACTGTCAGGACGGGAAATGCACGGGACACATTACAAAATAAAACGGCAACCATACATACGTTTGTAATTGATGTAACAAGAGGAATGTTATATACTTATGTGTTTCTAGGGGAAACTGTTTAGAGGGAACACAGAGAAGCCGGTAACAGCTGGGCTTATGTTTGTAACTGGAGTTGGCACGTATGTTAATAAAGTTTTTTGTGTAAGCAACGATACTGCTTTAAACGTCCATTCTGTAAAGTTGAGTAACAGAACAGAATGAAACATGGTGGCAGCGGTGGTAAATGTGGCTGCGAGGTGAGAGAGCTGCTTTGGGAAGAGCTGACTGTGCCGATAGCTGGAGGCTGTTAGCCTAGCATGCTAACACCAGCGGGAGCGTGTCGACGAGTAGTACGGAGCCACTGACGGAGCCGAAGAGTGCGCTTGGCGTCATGATGGAAGGTATCCGACCACCGCTGACTCTCTGCTTGGACTCTGCCAACATGGCTAAGACGTGGAACAGTTGGAAGGAGGAGTTCACACTGTACACGGACCTCACAATGCCGGAGGCGGAAGAAACGATGAAAGTTAAGTTATTTAACTATCTACTTGGTGAAAGAGGGAGAGAACTTCTGAGAACACTGATGGGGGTTGATACATCAGCGAGAGTTACTGTGAGTTCGATGATAAAGCTGCTTGACGACCATTGCAATCCAAAAGTGAATGAGACAGTGGAGCGGTACAAATTTTTTGTCAGAGACCAGGGACAAGATGAAAATGTAGACAAATATGTGACGGACTTAAGAGTTTTGGTCCGTTCATGCAACTTTGGTGCCATTCAGGACTCACTGATAAGGGATCGCATTGTTTGTGGAACAAGCAGCCCTTCCTTGAGGGAGAGACTTTTGAGGGAGGAGGACTTAACACTGGATAAGTGCATACAAATATGCAGAGCCTCAGAACTGTTGATAGAAAACAGTAAAACACTCCAGGGCAGATTGACGGAAGAACTGCATGCAATGAAAATGAGTCCAGGAAGAAAAACAGAGGAGATTATTTGCAACTTTTGTGGTAACAGGCATGTAAAAAGTAAACGAAAGTGCCCAGCATACGGAAAGAAGTGTAAAAAATGCGGGAAAGAGAACCACTTTGCAGTGAAATGTAAATCGAGACCCGTGGAAGACAAGAAAAGCAGGCCAGTGCTAACAGTTGAGGATACAAGTGAATCGGGTGAGGACATCATGACAATAACACATGTCAGTGAACACCAAGAGATGATAAATCTAATGAGTGAGGCACACAGGAAAAGTCAACACCTCTTTGCAGGGATGTTGCTGGACAAAAAGCTTGTCAACTTTCAGATTGACTGTGGTGCTACGTGTAATGTTATCCCCATACAAAGGTTAGCCCAAACACACAACTGGATAACACAGAGAAGACACTTGTCATGTATAATAAAAGCAAAATATGCCCGCTTGGGAAATGCAAAACCAAACTGCGGAACCCGAGAACTAATAAACTGTACAAGCTGGAGTTTCAGGTGGTGGATCAGGAAGATGGGGTCCCCATATTGGGCAGGAGGGCAAGTGAAGCCATGAAACTGATCAGGGTGAAGTATGAAAATATTCTGGCAATGGACAGTATAGTGACTACACATAACACAGACAAAGTCCCAGAAAGAGAGCAACTAACAAACATGGACAAAATAAAGAAGGAGTTCCATGATGTTTTCGAAGGCGTTGGCTGCCTGGAAGGAGAGTACCACATGGAAATAGATGAAACTGTAACACCGGTAAAACTGCCCAAACGTAGGGTGCCGGTTGCTATGATGGCCCCACTCAAAAAGGAGTTGAAAAGTCTGGAAGACGGAGAAATCATAGCACCCGTGGAGTGCAGTACAGACTGGATAAGCAGTGTGGTGCCAGTAACGAAACCCAATGGAAAGACAAGGATCTGCATAGATCTCAAACCACTGAACAAAGCCCTCAAACGGAGCCATTTTCCACTCCCAACCATTGACGATATTCTGCCGGCACTCTCCAAAGCAAAGGTCTTCACTGTGTGTGATGTAAAGCGGGGATTCTGGCATGTTAAACTGGATGAGGAGTCTAGTTATCTCACCACGTTTGCTACCCCTTTTAGACGATATCGGTGGCTCAGGATGCCAATGGGTATTAGTCCGGCCCCAGAGGTATTCCAAAGAAAATTGATGCAAGCACTCGAGGGCTTAGAAGGGGTGTACATTATTGCAGATGACATACTGATCACAGGTGAGGGAGAGACACAACAGGAAGCAGAGATGAACCATGATGAAAACCTTAGATGTTTTCTACTCAGGTGCAGACAAAGAGACATAAAACTTAATGCAGAAAAGGTTAAGCTGAGAAAAGATTCAGTACCTTACATTGGTCACTTACTGACAGCAGACGGCCTACACATTGACCCGGAGAAGGTGCGTGCAGTGCGTGAGTTGCCGAGACCTACAGATGTAAAAGGAGTACAGAGACTGGTGGGCATGTTAAACTACCTTTCAAAGTTTTGTGATCACCTCTCGGATGACTGTGAAGTTTTGAGACAGCTCACACATAAGGACAACGTGTGGGAATGGACCGAGGTGCACGAGACAGCGCTAGACAGACTAAAAGGAAAGATAACAAATGCCCCAGTGCTCAGATATTATGACCAAAGTGAGGAGCTTACAGTACAATGTGATGCTTCCGAGAAAGGGAAACCTGTAGCGTTTGCAAGTAGAGCGCTGACTCCCACAGAAAGGGGCTATGCCCAGATTGAAAAAGTGTTTGGCCATAGTATTTGGACAGGAAAAGTTTCACCAGTATACCTATGGCAGGCAGGTGAGGGTGCAAAGTGACCTTAAGCCACTTGAAAATATCGTGAAGAAACCACTACTTAGTGCGCCAAAGTGATTACAGAGAATGTTACTGAGATTACAGAAATATGACATCAATGTGACCTATATGCCAGGAAGAGACATGCTGTTAGCAGACACACTAAGTAGGGCTTACTTGATGGACAGTAGTCAGGGTGAAACTGAAGCAGAAACAGAGACGGTTAACATGATTGCATATCTACCCATCTCAGCGGTGAGAATGGCTGCAATTCAAGAGGCGACAAAACAAGATGTGGGGTTGCAGGAAGTAATCAAACTGATTCAGGGAGGTTGGCCGGGGAACAAAAAAGAATTATCCCAAAGCATTCAACACTATTTTGCATTCCAGGATGAGATGAGTTATCAGGATGGCGTTGTTTTCAGGGGAGAACGAGCTGTGATTCCTGATGCACTGAGAACAGACCTCATCCGCCGGATTCATTCATCACATCTGGGGGTGGAAGGATGCCTCAGGCGAGCTCGTGAGTGTGTGTACTGGCGTGGAATGAGTGAGCAGATAAAAACGGCTGTTGCCAAATGCGACACCTGCAGGTCAGTAGACCCCAAACAACAAAAGGAGACGTTACAACCACATGATGTGGCCTACAGACCTTGGGCCAAGGTGGGGACTGATCTGTTTTCTTGGCACAGCAAGGACTATTTGATAACTGTGGACTATTATTCGGACTTTTGGGAAGTTGATTATCTTCCCAATACAAATAGTACCATGGTGATCCACAAGCTGAAAGCCCACTTTGCTCGTCAGGGTATTCCAGACGTGCTTGTTTCGGATAATGGGCCTCAATTCTCATCACAGGAGTTGAGAGTTCAGCCGAAAGTGGGAGTTCGAACACAGGACTTCTTCGCCGGGTTACCCGCAAAGCAACGGGAAGGCTGGGTCAGCTGTCAAGGTGGCAAAACGACTCATGCAAAAGGCTGCTGCTGCTGGACAGGATCCATACCTGGCGCTACTGGATCATCGCAACACTCCAAGCCAGGGTCTGAATTCCAGTCCTGCACAAAGGCTTCTCAGCAGGAGGACCAGAACTCTTCTGCCTACAAAAACAACTCTACTGGAACCGGAAGTGTGCAACAGCAAGCGGGGGCTGCTTGACAAAAGGCGCAGGCAGGAGTGGTACTACAACCGCACTGCAAAGGACTTGGATGTGTCATACGGGCAAAGTCTGTTTATTGTGGTTTTCCTTCTAGTGTGGTGTGTTTTTAGTGTGTATTCTTTTTTTACTTAGTTTAGTGCATGGGATGCTTTTATTTTGGGGAACCCAGGAAACTGGGGTGTGTGATTTTATTTTGACGAGCTTGGACAGATGACATCCAGACCGGAGCAATTATCTGCACCGGTGGCAGATTAGGAGCGTCTTTTTTTTGGTGAAGACGGTGGCAGCGAGCAGAGAGTCGCCGGGTAAAAGGACACCAATCGTCTGTGACGAGGCTTCATGGAGATGTGGGCAGGGTATTCTTCTGCCCTGGCGTGTGAGTAGCGGCCTGTGACAAGGTACGACCCGCGGTGTGTGATCGAGCAGTGACTGCCGTTAAATTTCACCGACAGGTGGACCCGCGACAGAGGAGGACGACAGAGTGGCGCGGTGACGCGGCAGAGCCAGTGACTGATCTGCAGGAGTAAGCGGCCGATCGAGGGAAACGGCGGTGTGGCAGGCACGCGTCTTGAAGGAGGAGGCAAGCTATCGAGGGAAGAGGAAACCGGCAGCGTGGCGGACAAGCGTCCCGAAGGAGGAGGAATCGGCCCCGCAGCGTCCAGATAAGGCTGCAGACTCTCTGGCCCAGTTCTGGCAACCGTTTATAGTGACTGGCCTAACCTGGTTTTTTAAATGATGTTTTAATTAGTATTTTCAATAAACCCCGGTGCGGTGGTTAATGGCTGATTCCTTTGATCTCTGGCAGACGCTCTCAATTTACCTGGTGTAATCCTTGGG